CCATTTACACATAAGGAAACTTTGTTCTCTCTGGGTAGCGCATAGTCTGACGGAAGAGCAGAAGACTCGTCGTACGACTTGGTGCCGAATGATGCTAAAAATGTTTGATAAGAGGCAATCTCGGTATGTGAACAGTATGGTGATAGATGACGAGACTTAGCTCTATTATTACGATGTGCCGACAAAGGCTCAAAACAAAGTTTTTTGATGAAGACACACCCGCAGCTGTCAGAAAATCTCGATCTGTTAAGAAAAAAATGATAGCTGTATTTGTCAAATCTAGCGGGACTGTGGCGCGTGTCGCTTTGAACATACAGAAGACAGAACGGACATTTGGTACCTCCACCATAACAAAGCCAAAGCCAAAGCCTGCATCGAGTATTTGACCACTACTGGACTGAAACTTATTGAGCACCCTCCTTACAGTCCAGATCTTGCTCCCTGTGACTTTGCACTAGCGATGAGGACCTTCTCAGGGCTTGGGACAACGGGTGTGCCGCACTCCAGGGTGAAACTTGGTAGAGCTGGTGTGGTGGAAATTACTTTGAACGAAGTCAATAAATAAAGCTGTATTGCAAAACTATTATAGTACCCTTTGTAGATAGAAGAGCATTCGAAAATTGACCCACGTCCTACGCGTGATGCATAATATGCGTTGCATATACACAGTGATTTGTCCAGAATTGCCTGGGAAGGTACAGAGTCAACCTAGTTGACGCCATTTTTTAGTTCTCTGAAAGATCACGAGAAATTAATTTCGCTAGCTCCTGGATCAACACATGTTATGTTGGACGTTAAATTCGTGAAACTATGATGACACATATCCGACATATCAACGCCTACCGCTAGACGGCGCGCCATCAGTTGCATTTTTTGAAATGCCGCCGGCTCGTCAATACATGAATTGCGGATTGGGAAAATTAAATTTCTCCCCAATGTTTTCCCTGTTTTGCATAATTGAATTTCATTTTTCCCGTTTTGATATGCGATCCTGTCGGAAAATCGCTTTGAAATATGCGTAAATAAATTGAGCATCCTTAAATAAAGATGCAACAGAGATAAGCAATGGCGTCAAGTATACTCCCCATAGGAAAATTTTCTATATATGTAGTGAAATGACATCAAAATCACGTAGGTTTTGTGAAAACCAGTAATGCACTATTTGGGTTTTATATGAAAAAAAATATCTTAAGATTCCAGCAATGAGCGTATGGTTACACGGAGCTCTGGTGTAAAACTACTTGTCAAGAATATTTGATAACTGATTATAATAGCTATTGAAGCATACTATTACTACTATATTACGTCACCAAATCGAATAATCTCATTGAATATTATATCCCGCATGCTTGCTACTTATATTTAGTCCGAATTCGATACTCTTATCGATAGAAAAAGCTGATTCTAGGAAACAAATGTCTAAATTATGTTTCTATCATTATTTATATTGAAAATTTATGAACTATTTATTCTTTATCTGAGGTTCCACAAGAACCAGTAATTACAAAAATGTATTTGTGTAATACATTGTTCTCGGGATGTATTCATGAATTTCAACATGTCTGGCTATCATACCGTATGGTAGAGTCTGTTTGGAAAATCTGCTTAAGCTAATATCATAAGTAAAACTTTTTCCATCGCAACTTTCTGACATCGGGAATTCACTCACCCAGACCGTTACCTTAGCAGATGAATTAATTTACTGCTGTTCCATTCCTTTATAGCGCTCGTTGACACCGATGGTATGTTTCAGAGTTACAAAAATCATGTCCTCTGATCTGAGCTCCGACAAGCTGAACCCAATGGCTTTAGACTGAACTCAGTCGCCCATTAGAACCCCTTGAAGCTTTCTATTAAGGTGCCATGCTGTCTTAAAGATTCTATTGCAATATATTATTCCGTCCCTAGGCAGTTGTAGCATCCACGTCTTGCCAGAAGATTCATCGTGGAAGAAGTAAGGTTATTGTATTAAGCATCTATTGAAGACTGGAACAGGTTTCAAAATTCATCGCCTCAACAATGGATAATACACGTTATTCAAATTACCTTCGGATTTACGCTACACCTCCCTAATATATAACCCTATATATTTCAGCACCACACTGCAGAAAAGAGTAAATGGTGTAGGGTAACTGGATAATAATAAGAGCAAGGTGAAAGTTATATGCATGATATACCCTAGCAGTGCAGGAGATTAAAGCAGTTTTCTAGCTGAAAAGTATAAATATTTGCTAGAAGTTGTATATTTTCCACTGTGAAAACAAGTCCACGCGATGCTAGGTATATTAAAATTTAGAGAACATAAACGGAGGCAAAATTTAGATTATCGACTACGTAGGAATAAACTACTACGATCGGAAGGAACTCTTGGGACAGTAGTCAGTAGATGTAGGGGTAGTGTTCGTTTAATAGTTCAAGCCTCACTTCGATATCCATGAACTTTCTAATCTCTACTTAATATTATAAATGAGACAGTGTTGATGGTTGTTACTCCATCACGCCAAAAGGCCTGAACGGTATATACTCGTAGATATATTATAGTCTGGAATAGCAAAATTGTACACTTACTGATTTATAGTGGATACCAAATAAAACCCGATGCACGTCATCGATCTGGAGGTGTGCGCTGTTGCCAGAATTGATATGAGCTCTTTACACCGACTGTTAAGTTGTTTTGGCATTTTGGATACTTTATACCACTTCACAGTAACTTTTGTTCTGAAAAGAACAACTTTTAATTGGCAAGGCAACGATTCAAAGCTCAAATAGCGCAAAACTCACAAACTAAACAATAAAGAACTAATAGTACGACAAAAGGACAATGGCAACTGATGTCAACAAATGAGAAGTGGCAACCTCACATTTCTCTGCACGGCACTACCAACCGAATCGAGACGGGGAAATTTAAACTTCAAGTAGAAATGTCACATTGAATGTAGTCAACTGTTGGTAACCATGATTTTTATGAATGACATCACCTATGACGTGCATCGGATTTTATTTGGTATCCACTATATACCCGAGGAAGGTTATAGACATGTTTTTTCCGCGAGCTCATCGTCGTGTTTGCCTATTATATACAGGGTGACTTCGAAGTTGAGTCATTTATTTTAACAGTGAGTAGACCTGATCAAATGAAATGTTTTTTTCCTTTAACATTTTTCTGGTAAAATTAAAGTAACAAAGTTATAGCCCTTTAGAAGTTTGAGTACCGCCCTGTCTCAATAATAATATTATGTGCTCGTGTTTGGCGACAACGGATATAATCCGCATCGGTTCATCGCATCGGAAACAAAAAAGCGAAAGAATTTGAAACGCTTATCACGATGTTTTTAGTTGGATTCAGTCGGTAACGCGTGAGTGAATAGTGGTGTTTGTTGCGTGGCTCAAACGAAATAAAAAATGGCACATGTTTACGAAAATGCTGAACTTGTGGACATGATTCTTATTTACGGGGGGGCAGTCTCTACACAATGCTGCCGGATGCATCACGGATTTATGCGAATCGGTTTCCCAATCGAGTGCAACCAACCCCTCGTGCCTTTGTTAATGTAGTACAAAGGGCTCGTGAATCAGGTGACTTAAGACCTCACAGGTGAGGGCATGCCGGATGCCGGTGCTCTAAGACCGCACGATCAAATACAGGTCCGCACTGAAATACTTGTCGGGAGGATACTTTATAAAACAAGGTAAACATTTTTTTATTTCTTTTTATTTTTACACACATATTTTGGTTTATCTTCCTTCTACAATCACTATCTAAAAATTAATGACTCAACTTCAAAGTCACCCTGTATATCCGAATACCTCGAACACTAGACAACCATGGAAAAAGGATTTTCGAAAAGTTTCAGGTTATCAAAAAGCAATTTGTCGATGGCCTCAAATTTTTGACAAGATTATATGACTAAGATGTTTTCGTTCAGTAGGATTTGTGGTTTTAGGAACAGGTATAATCAGGTTTTAGGATCAGCTTCTACTGTTTACGGCGTCATCACTTTTCTAAACAAAACTTTATTAGGTGAGTGATATGAAAGAAGGTTATAGGACGACTTGCTTTGATCATAGTAAGTGATAGAGTGTCAATTTTCTTAGATGTCATTTTGAAGTCATTTTTGAGGTCAACGATAAATTATTTTTGAAATCCTAAAAAGTTTCTTAGAACTTTTTTTCCAAATAATGCGCGGCTGACAAATTTTCGGGGTGTTCAGGTGTTTCTTACACCCCTAGTAAATATTGGCAGATTTGACGATGTTTTCGCTGATAAGACCTTCCTCGGGTACAAAATTAGTAAGTGTACACATTTTTACGTCTGTTTGTATTGTGGTTCAGACGTAATGCTGACAGACGGGACAAACATTCACATTTATGTTTTGTTGCATTAAAATGTTGAATAACAAATATCTATATATTAAGAGTACCAAATTAAGTACTGCATTACTTTGAATATTGCGTTTTTTTTTTCTGAAACTAATGTCCTTCAAACTAATGCAAGACATATGGCTTATACTATAATAATAATAATGATTATTCATTGTAATTTAGTGATTTAAAGCTTCATTATAAAGTGTAACCGCGTTGTATGTGAAGTGCTTATGAAAGAATGAAGTTTTGTGAAGAGACATTGTGAGTATCTCAGTATGTCTCTACTCTATGACATTGTGAGTATCTCAGTATGTCTCTTGAGCGGAAGGAATTTTGAGGGATCAGCATGTTCTTTCGAAACGAGGGAATCGGAGTGAGTGAGCTTAGGCTAGTCCCCCATAAATATTATTAACAGTGGTTAAGTATCCAAAGTCTGTTAAGTCTTTATTTATACTTGCAAGCGAAGCACGGGCTTAGGATAGAAAATACTGCATGAAAGTAATGATCCAGTTCGAAAAAGCGTTTATTAATATTCAAGTTCATGGAATATCCAACTGAATATCAAGTCCTAGATTTGAATGAACTACGCACAGTCGTGTAATCTGTACTAGATAGCCTGAAAATGCTGTACCTACCTCTGTATGCATCTGTATAAATTCGAAAGCCCGACCCATGAGCACGACATATCACTTTCTTCTCCACAGGTCATTGAGAGTGGATTGGGCCCCCAGACAGATCTTTTGCCATACCTGAATATCAAGAAAACATTACATATTTTGTGGTTAATTAGCTTTTGATCCTACAGAATATATAGGTGGTGCCACTAATAACGTAATCAAATCTCCCATACATGCAACATAGCAAATAGGTTATTAATGCGATGAAAAATACAAAACGTAATCGGAAGTTTATAGCATTGCTTAAAAACATCGCTTGAAAAAATAGTTTCAAGCGTACGGAGATGCGGGAAAAGATCGTCTGTATCGGAAAACGATCACAGGTTCGAGGGCATGCCGCGCTGTTGCCGGCTTGGCGCTGACGCTGGAGATTTTGCTACTTGCCAAAACAGTTGACTGCGGAAGAGCCTTACTCGGTTGTTAGTAATTATACAATTTTTGTCTTTCCATACTGTGGCCCGACGTGATACTGACAGACTGCACGGACATTTACATTTATATAATACAGACATATAAAAAAAGAATGACAAAAAGTTAAACTCTATAAAATATATTTCCAGAGGCACTTTTTAGAGGGGGAGAAACTTACTTTTTTTTCTATATTGCAGAGTGAGTCATTACTTATTTAATGCATGTTTGATTAAACTCTTCCTTTCGGTATTGGGAGTTGTGTAATTTTGGTTAAAAAACAATTTAAACCGACCAAAGCGGCCTTCTTATGTAAGGATAAAGTATTCCATATGGCCTTAGAAATCCACAACAAAACATTAAAGAAAATAGTGTGTTTACCTTGAAAAGCTACTTTTCGCTGTTAGCTAGGATCATAATTTTAATGTCAACGGCCGATGTCAACAAATCAAATTCAGAACATGACGTGAGCGACTAATCGCCGCGTCTGTGTCCTTGAGATCGTAAGCATTAGTAGAAGAATTTGTCATCGCATAGCAAGAACTACGACTTTCTAATAATTGTCCCAGCCATTTTATATTAAGTTGAACAGTAATAATAATAATAATAAATGGCTTTATTCGAAGATACAATGCATACAAAAATAATGTTCAACAAAAAGGAATAATTGCTCTCGAATCTCAAGGGGGAGTTCACGACCTGCGTGCTCTTCCACTCATCCCTTGCTCTATTTTAAAATAGTGATATAAACTGTTACATGACTACTACTAACTATATGAGAGTAGAAAAAAAAGCATGAGTACAAAAAACAAATAACACTGAAACTATAAAACTGAAAATATCCCATCATATAATCATGAGATTCATCCAAAAAAGCTAAATGTTACAGTATTATCAGTGAAATTAATTATACTTATCTAAAAGGAATCGTCTCAAAGCTGCCTTGAATTTGCAACCTTTCATATTTTTGATTTGCTGGGGGATGGAATTGTATGATTTATAAATGTTGTAAGAGAAGCCACGTTCGAAAAAACATGTTTGATGGAATGGAGCAGAAATATTCTGTTTCGAACGAACATTGACAGATAGACTTTCTCTAAACATGACTTTTTCATACAAATTTGGCGGTGACTTGCTCGACAAAATATTATTGTAGAAACATAGTGTTAATTGTTCTGAACGCTGTTTCATGTTCAACCACTGTAAATCCTTCAGCTATGACTAACTCTATCATATTTCCTTACATGAATTTTGAACACGCTGAATTCTAGATATCGTATCAGCATCCAAGCATGGATAATAGACCGGAGCACCATACGAAAACTTCGACAAAACCAACGTTTCGCATAGCATTCGTTTGATGTCTCTGCCTCTCTGTCTATGAGGGTAAAGCTGCTTGAGAGCATAGTATGCTCTTTGTATGATATATGAAATATGCTCTTTAAATCTGAGCTTAAAATCTATTATGAGACCCAAATTTTTGATAGAATCGCAGAACTGTATTAGAACATTATCTATATGTAGCGTCATATTGTGAATTATCTCTGACCGATCTTTCCCAAAAATTATTGCTGCTGATTTTTTTGGATTCAGTGACATTGAATGATCATTAGAATTTTTGAATAGAGCGTCAAGATCAGCATTAATTTTAAACTCCGCCATTGGCCAATCATCACCATGGAATGAAAGGCACAGTATGAGTATCATCTGCATACATGTGAGGCTTACAGTATTCAAGGGATTTGGAGAGCTGACTAGTATATAGCGTGAATAACAGCGGTCCGAGTATCGAACCCTGCGGCACCCCTTGATTTATTGTCCTTATTCGCGAGAGATTATTATTGATCTTCACACGTTGCATTCTATCGCTAAGGTAAGATTCGAATAATGATTTATTATGACCTGATACCCCACATGATTCAAGTATTGCAATCAGAACGTCATGATTTATAGTATCAAATGCTTTGCTATAATCTAATAAAACTAGTGCAGTACAGTTACTGTTGTCATTAGCTGTTATAATATCATCTGTAATGTGTGCCAAAGCTGTAGTACAGCTATAATCTTGACGAAAACCTGACTGAGTACTAGGTAAAATTTTGTTTCTGGTTATGTGGTCACGTAGCTGTAATTCTATTATTTTTTCCACTAACTTTGAAAGGCCAGGTAAGATACTGATAGGGCGAAGAACTGCAAGTTGTTTGACATCTTTACCCTTAGGGATTGGAGTTATTAGAGCTATTTTAACCGGGCGGGGGGATATTTTCCGTCTAAAAGAATACTATTAGTAATGTGGACGCGAAAAGGCAATATAATTGGAATACACATTTTAAGTAAACGGACTAAAATTCCGTCACTTCCTGGCGAGGTATTTTTTATCCGACAGAGGGCTTGCAGAATTTGTTAGCATATGACATTATTGTTATAGTGCGTAACTAAATCCTCATTACTATTGATTTGTTGTGGAATATTGTCTAAGAAGTCGTTGATATTATCAGCACTTTGCAGCTGTGAGGGTATACCAGGATTATTTGATTTTATATCTAATGATCTTAGTTTTTTCCATAGTACTTTACTGTTTCTATTCTGAGCCAATTGTGAGAAATATTTCTTTTTTTCTTGTACTATGGTACGATTTGTTTTTGAGCTGTTTGTAAGCCACACCATTCTGCGCAGAAGGATTCTTCCGGAATTTTGACCTAGCTCTGCCTCTATCTCTCATTAGTTTCCTTATGTTATTGCTAAGCCAAGGTGCCTTATTTTTGCTAATTTTAGATGTTTTAAGAGGCATGTGTTTGTCAAATAGCTGAACGATCATGTTGTTGAACAAAAGCATTTTTTCATCCATGTCAGAAGCATAGCAAATATCTATCAGAGAGAGCTTTTGCAGGTCACTGTAGAACTCATGCTCATTAAAAGCTTAAAACTACGATAAGTACAGTAGAATGGTTCAGTTTTAGGCTTAGACTTGTATACCTGACATGAAATTAATTCGTGATTGGTCAAATCCACACATTTCCGTTGACAGTCCAAACATTTCTAAACCCGAACTTTTCTGAAGCTGCTTTCACGTCTTTTAAACGCTGAATGGTTAGGTCCTCTTTAACAACAATTTTAGTACCTTTCAGCATCTTTTTCTTGTTATATGCTGCCATTTTTATACAGTTATCTTTGAAGGAAACCAGAATGTACCTTGGGTTACTACCATTCTGTCTTCCCACCCTGAATACTGCTGTTATTTCCGACCTATTTATATCGACTTCCATTTTATTTTTGAATATTTCATACACCTTCTCAGACCGATTTTCGCCCCCCGCCTCTGGTACCTACATGAGCCTAATATTATTATTTTTAATGTGCTGCTGAATGTTATCAAGTTTTTGCTGTACATTTCTTTGCGTTTCTTCCGTTGTTATGTCTTGTATCTCTTTATTAGATTTTAAATTGACTATTTCAGCTTCTAATTTTATCATCATAATATTTGAATTTAACATTCAATGTGGACGTTATCGTACGTAAGATTATGTTTGATATCGACTCAGCAACATTCTTCTTCTTAAGTGCATCAATGAGAGTTTGCTCAAAATCGGCCTGTCCTTGGCGAGTAGGCATTTTGTTTTGAAATAGGTCAAAATACGTTCGCTTTGATGTGATCAACAATAAATAATGAGGTGGTGTCAAAACTTACAAGATTTGCTGTTTTGAAGAGCACTCACAGACTCATCCGTACGCTACAACTCGATGACGTACGTCTATCTCACATACATGTTATACAAGTGATATTGAGACAATAAGAAGAATAAAGTAAAAAATTCCGTCTTACCTTGGGCCCAAGAAAAATGCATCCGCTCTTGGATATACATTTACAGGCTTGAGGTCCTTATCACTGTTACTGTTACTTGATCGTCCGAACCTCAACATTGTTTTGAACGAGGAGGGACCTGTAACAAAAGAAGTAACCTGTCAACTTTTTATTTCCGAAACCACACGTGATAAATCAAATCCAAGCGAATAACCAAAATTTCTGTGTTATGTGCCGCGGTTATAATATGGTTCAAGATGACACACGGGTTGATGACGTCAGTTACACGAATCGCTTGAACGCGTTGGTTTTAACCGCGGTTTTGTCATGGAAAGTTTAAATAAGAAACCTTTCATAATATTCATGGGAGAAATGTTTTTTTCAGATTTTTTTTTTAATGACGGAACCATGGCTTTGTAGCTATGATAACTTTCAATTCTCTAAAAATTTCCGTATTCAAAGAAAACATTTATTGATTCAGCAGAAATGATGAAAAAAGAAATTAGCAAAACCGTATACAGGTGGATATCATCTAGTGAGTTTATATCGCCATATTTTAATATTCTTGTGGTATATGGCTACACAGGATACTTTGTTAAGCATAGGAACTACATTTAAAGTGTCCCCAACAACCATAATGAGTATAACTAATAAGGTGCTCCACTTTATGGTAAAACTGAAGTCAGCCTGTATCAATTTTCTCAAAAATGAAGCTGAAGTACAATAACATTTAGGCAGCAGCGGTGGCCGCAGTAGTAGACTCTTCGGTCTCCTGATCAGTCGCCGTGCGCTGTGCGGGTTCGAGTCCCGTCCCAGGAGAAATTTTTCTCTTGCTATGGATGTTGTGATTGTCTGTAGGTGGTAGATGGTCTTTGACCGTCGAACGCGGAGGTACCACCCGGCGGTTCTCGTAGGCGGAGCTAGAATGTGTGCATGTTGCATGCACACGTGTTCCCTCGCCAGAGTCCGTGTGGCGTCCCCCCTTTCCCATGTATCCCCCTATAGCCCCACGGTACCCAATGGGTGCTTAGGCCTTAGGCCTTCGTGGTAGTTGGAGTATAAAAAAAACAACAACAATATCCAATACCCGGCAAAATTCTACCTTGTCACATTTCAAATAATAACCAGAAATATAAAACTGCTCTTGAGTTGGGTAAATACCACAATTTTGCGGTGATAACTATGACATATATCAGCTGATTCGTGACGTCACGGATTGCATAACCAAACTGATAACTACACTCGCTTGAACGGATCGATAAATACCAACCCAAAATGGTAAATACCACTTCCATTTGGTTATCCGCTTGAATTTGATTATAGTCTGGTTCAACTCTAGGTAATGCTGGAGGAGGACTGTTTCAGTCAACGAATTCGAATAGATTAGGAGAAGCTAAGCCTATATGCTTACATCGCATTGTTCGTCCCCGAAAGTGTGTAGTTTTAGGGCATTCTTTTGACTAATTTGACTATCATTGCCAACCAAAGTGACAAACCAATATATCAGCGGATATTCTTATGGTTGGAAAGGATATTAAAATAGCAATTCGTACTCGGTGCGTGCGTTGCGGTATGATGCGCTCAGTTATTGTTAATGAACAGGGATAAATTAAATAAGGAAAAAACGAAAGTAAATATTTATTCATGGTACAGCATATGAACAGATGCTTAAATCATGATTTTCAAAGGTGGGACACCTTGCATGAATTCTACTCAGTTTTTCTGAATAGTTGTGATCCGACTAGATCTTTCGCTAAAAGCAAATACTTTAATTAATTTGATATTCATATTTTTCTGTATACTGTGCTTCCTCAATAGAATCTCATGGCCCTAAAATAAGATCGTAGAATTGCTAATTATAATGCAAAAATCCTCGAGAACTTTTAGATTCAATATTAAAGTGGATAACTTTAGTTTAGTTGGATTAATGTTTCGGTTGGCCCTTTTCAGTATTGATCATAAATTTTTATTTTTCTCCAATATTTTGCATTATCAATATTTTTGTTACGTATAAAATTCTTTTAACAAACCTTAGATTGGGAATTGGGAATCTATAAAACAAGTACAGAAATGATATAAATCAAAATTACCAGGTAAAAGCCCAACGCCGATTACTATAATAAATACTTGTCGATAAAAGGATTTGATGTTATTCAGTTTAAACTGCTTTCTGCAATCCACAGAAATTTCCATTATTTTTTTTGCAATATGATGGAACGCTAGGATTGTATGGATCCATATGTTTTTGCAGAAAAGTACGAATTTAACGTGAAATGGCAACAAACTGGCGGCAAATTATATACTTGCCCCTTTTACCCAATACGAATTCCTTCGAACGATCTTAGGAGAGGTTATTTTGTAATATTTCACTTTCACAAACATGACAATAATTTTTTTTGACTGCATTGCATTGTTGCGGGTATTGCATTTTGAGTTCTAGAATATCCAAAGATACTAAAATATACTCACTCTGTATCCTTTTATCAGGAGGGTATCCTTTCGCTATGGCTACTGCCAGAAATACTGTAGACAGATACACGAACAGTATCACTACTCGTCGAGCATGCATCTGAAACAAAATAATCAATGAAAATATAGCTCAAGCTCCATACTGGAAATATGTGACATTTCTGTTTTTGCTGCGATCTAGATGAGTCACAATACCGACCGAGTTCAGCCAAAGAGCCATTCATTTCGGCACGGGTATTACGTATCTTGAAAAGTGACATTTTGTCCTTTTTGACATTTTGTAGGTTTTTGTGACATAACGTAGGTGTTTCTACAAGATGTTAACTTAGCACTAGCTGTTGTACACTTGTTTTAAACTCGTTTTGTAGCTGTGCCTGTTGCCTAAACATCATGATGCTTCAGTTATCAATGTTTAACTCTAATGTAATGTAACATCTGCTTCAGAGAAAGCATTATTGGAGGTCTAAGCTGTAAGTTGTATCTATAGCTGGAATAAAACGGCAGTACATAGGTGCATAGTGAGGATTTGTGTGCTAATAATCTGTGTTGATGATAATTCCATTGGTTCCTTGTCTCAAATACACTTACTTGAGATCTATTAAAAGTTAGAAATTAGTTACGCATTCACTTTTTCTTATTCATTCTGGAAATTACATATGCAAATTTGCTGAATTTCAAAAATCAGAGAGATAACAAGATCTCTGGTTGGTGAAGTAACAGGTGAGAAAACATGCTACAGACTGAAATATTTATGAAAATGAAAAATTTATTGCATTATTTCTTATTTCCAGTCATTTAAATTTTATAGAAATTTATTTTGTGATGTCAATAGAAAATACAAATCAGCGCCTAGAAAATGTTTGATGTCATTCCTAATTTTTCTGTTATTTGGCTTAACTGCACACAAAGTGGGCGCGTTGGCGATTTTCCGTAATGCTCCTCAAAGCTTTTGAAAACACACAAAGAAAAGCGGGAAAAATTACCCGTCGGGCACAGTTAATAGATATACTTCATTGTCAGCAAATTCAGTAATAATTTTCTCACATAGCAAATATCATTGATTTTATAAAGATTCAGACCAATACACATAATCATCCAGATGCGATCTTGATACTCAACCAACTTTCTTTCAAATCTTCTCAGAGATGAACACTACAGACTACCCAGCTTCACAAAACATGTGCACTCTGCTTTGTGCAATCAACAATGTATGCTGGGGAACAGGTTTGAGCGAGTCGAGTCGTTGAGTCATTCCTTCATAGATGGACGCTCACAGCATCATAGCGAGCAAACGTGGAATGAACAATTTGCACAATAAAAACTACCTGGTCTGCAAGATGAAATTTTGTCGGTTTCTTACGTTCTTTAGGTTTTTACGTAACACCCCTGCGGTTGGTCGGAGTCCAGATCACAGAGAACTTGATCTGGCACGATCTAGGCTATGTCTTTAGGGCTAAAAAGTACTTCTCTCCACATAGGGTCAGTTGTACCAAATAATAGTAAACTCGGGTTCACGTGAACGCTTCAACGTCATATGTGTTCTAAAAACTCAGTTCAACCATATGTAAACTGTAAACTATCTTAGTTTAAGGCGGCTCCGACGCAGTGAGTTTCAAGCCATTTACAAGGGTTCAGCTGCTTCAAAAGTGACACTCCATTTTTCAATATTTTTCAATGAAATTCATGCAGTATGTTGAGAAGATAATTGCCCAGGGTGCTATAGGAACACTTTTTGTAATTTTGTTTTTGCACAAGTTTTATGATGGGCTGAAGTACGCACTTCTTCTGTTCAACTTCGCGATTTTTTTAAAAAGAACCTAGTGAAAAAATGAAAAAGTGGCTCTATAGCACCCTGTGGGGTTTTGTTTTTAGCACACTGTGAAAATTTCATCCAAAAATATCAAAAAATAAACCGTCAATTCCGAAGCGCGCAAACCTCTACAAATCGTGTTTTGGACGAATTTGGTCTACTGCCAACACAAGCGTAGCGGCGCAATGTACGGACTAAGAAAGGACGTATTCAGATAATTTGGTGGCCCTATTTCATATAATATTTCGTAGATAACTCGTTCTGCAAATAGGTACTCATAATCGCGATCGCTGATATTCATCGATTTTAAAGCCGTTTTACTTCCCACGCCGTTGGCGAGGAAGTATTGTAATCGCGAAAAATTTCTAAAATGAGATGTGTTATGTTTTTTAAATCATATGGCATCTATATCACGAAAAATTGTATCAGTCATCATCAACTTGGAAATTACCGCTCGGATTGTTATGAAATTTCCACACTGCCAAAGCTTTGTAGTTCTACTCCACTGGCAACGATGCTATAGGCAAAAAAGAAAAAGTAACAATTGCTGAAACTCCGTTTTTGACGTTTCAGGGGTTCCTAGTCATAAAAAAATTGTACTGCTTAAAAAGGGGGGGGTGTGAAATCAGTGAAACACGTTCTATTATTAAGAAGCTTTTGATTCCAGTGATTACAGGAAATTTAAGTAACGAAAATCCGACGAATAATGTGCTCACGATTTAAAAAAAATCGGTATCTGCTCCATAGGTTTGACACCAAGAGCCAACAGATCTGCAACTACCGACAGTAGGGAAGAATAAATTCGGATATCACTACAGTTGAGTATAGGGGAACTTAGCGTGGAACTTTAAAATTATCGATATGTCAAGGAAATATGTTCTTGAGAATGATAATTTGGTAAATTTTATACCTGCATTTTCATTTGAATTTCATGACCCGTGAAATGTACCCATTTCGCCGTTACCTTCAATTTGTGTTCTGCAGTTTGTGATGTTTTTCTGGATATAAGCAGCCTAGGGTACTATCAGAGCTTTTTACAAAATTTTGTATTTGCGCAAGAAATGCTTACTATTTGTGCTGAACTTCTTGATATTTTAAAAAGATCCTAGTGGATAAAATCGAAAAAGTGTATCGCTGGCACCCTGTGGACTTTGTCTTTAGCACGCTGCAAGAGTTTCATTTGGAAATAATAAATATTAAACGTAAGCTGTGAAGTGCAAATCGGTTTTTGGGCGAAATTCATCTACTGTTTCAATCTGCCAGTCCAAGCGTCGTGACGGTGCGTTCCGACTAAGAAAAAATGTCTTCCAATAATTTTATCTTTCCTAAAATAAATTCAAGAACTCAAATTCTAATTGGTTTATTCATGTCAATAAACACAATTATGTTTACAAGGGTCGTGTGGTAGATGGTAACAATTGAACGAGGGTCATAAAAATATCTTATGCAGTCAAAACAAGAGAAAACAGTTAGGTAGTTTTTGCAAAGCAATAAATAGGTAGGCTTATACCTGGATTAAGTACATGTCTTGTCTACTGTAATAGACAGATGGAGGTGATGCTGCCAGAAATAGATGTGTGCGATCAATAAACAAACCACAAGATTGAACTGCCGTGTCCAATGATTTTTGTATTGCCGTTTTTTATTGCCTTACTAGAAAACTCTGTTGGGTATATGATGGAGTTTACTAGAACTTTACCGCTTGTTGTCTGCCTTCTTATACAAACTTCACCACATCGAGACGCTGTCATCCTTACCCTCCGTTGAAGACGCCACAAAGTACAGTCCTGTGATTTGGTGACTTGTTCAATCTGCAAAATCTCGTCGTCACTTTCTTTAAGTTTCCCTAAAAATTTTCGCTTAGCAAAATCCAAATCAATGTAGCTAATGTCAGGTTTTTGACTGAATTCGCTATACAACTATTCATTTTTCTTTGGAATTGCTATCCGAATTGTTAGTTATTTTTATATCAGCTTTTTTTGGTCTGAGTTTCTTTTCAAGATTCTTGCGTTTGAGTCTTTGTTCCATCTTAGTGGTAAGCGAGGTTGGACTAAGCTTAGCACGCAAATGTATTTGGACCACATAAACAGGCCGCTCGGTATTGTGGCTCACTACAGCTGCAGCACATTTTCAATGGTATGACCTCTCCTTGCGATAATTTATTCGCTTACCCCAATGTATTTTGCGATTATAGAGTTGAACTGCTCCACATTCTTGTTGTCCTCATCTTGAATTAAACTCACTGCATTCGTAATTAAAATTGTCGCATATGACCTTTTATTGTCCATTATCAACCTTGATAAAAAAGGCACTCAAGAACAATCAGACCAACAAGAGTACAGCACAACTATTCAACAACACAATATCGACGAACAGTAACCAGGGTAGAACTATACCAAATGATCACTTGCTGAGTACCAAAATAGGAAATGATTTACAGGCTAGATCGCTAATCGAAATCCGACTCTGTTATTATAAAAATTTACCTCGGCACGCACCCATAGTCATCCTTTCCTCTTTTAAAGTAGCGCCGACAACCATCTAAGACCTGCCCACCCTCGTTTCCTTTTCACCCCGTTACCTCAGCAGATGGTACTCGTGATTGTAGGAGCCCCGTTAAGGTTGGTAACGTGAAGTTTAGGGTAAAGGCAGGTAAATTTTGCATTTTCTCAAGAGAACTTCTGTTCTATTGGCCACTGTAACTTGGTGATATTGACATTACTGCTATTTACTTTTTATTCAGTAGCTTCAGCGTTCAGCTATATATGTATTTCGTGTTGCTATTACTTTTGACTAATCAGCAAGTTATATAAGTATGGATCCCAAAAAAGTAGCCGCTAAAATTTCGTCTAAAGCAAGAGTCTCTATTGGTAGACTTGGTGAAAATATACCAACAATTCATCGAATGCAAGAAGTTTGACGTGGATACCCAAAAATTGAAAACTGAAACGGAAGATATTTTGTTCTCGATTGCGTGGGCACTAAATGAAACTGCTTTCTTTGTGAGGCGAAACCTGGAAAATTCACGTTGATTCCGATTGTTGAAGTGGTCTTCCCTGAATCTATAGGTCTGAGATTTTCTGGGATGCACCAGTACATCATACAACTCCAGAAAATCTTCACCATAAGTAATTTATTCAACAATATTCTCCATTTTCGATTAACATCAACCAAACCATAAGGCTATAAAAATGTAGCCAAAACCGACATTAAATGCAGGTACCTCTCTCGGTCAACTTGACCGAAGTTAAAACTGCTATATGTCGGTGAACTTGTATGGTACAACCTCAATTTTCCATTGGAAAGCTCGTTGCTGTTCATAGGAGGGCTGTCCGACTGATCAATGACTCGGCTCTAATCGGCAGTCATCTATCTAGCCCTCAACGGGCTATGCTCCTCAAAGCTCTCCGCCATGACGTCGCCGCGCGATGTGCCTCCTAGTTAGACTCACCAGTCGTCTGCTTCCCATCTCAACCGTGTCAAACTTCGAACATCCAGAACTGGTACTACTGCTCCTTTGTCCCTAGAGTAGCGAGCTTGTGGAAAAATCTACATGGGGAAGCTTTTCCCAGTTCTGCTAACCTTAGACCTCTCAAAAATCGGATTAACAATGCGTCTTTAAGTTGCCTATAGCAGTTGTCCTGTCCCGGTATTCAAGTTTCAAAAGTACAAGAAGTGGCAGAATCAAGCAGTTTCAAAGATCTATAAAAAGGGCATTGGATCTACAGAAAGAAATTTTTCCAATTTCCGAGTCAGCAGTTTATACCATTTTACATTTATTAAGTTTTGGAAATAATGTCTTCTCAAGCGTTAGCAGCAACACATTGTTGGAGACTACTCCTGAAGCTCGTCTATTTTAAATATCCCCAGAAAAAGAAGTCAGAGATGCTCAATCTGGTGACGGTGCACGCCACCCCATATCACCTGTCAACGAGTCGTCCAGGAAAAATTTCTCTCCAAACATTCATTGAATGTTGGGCTATGTGAGCTTCCATTCCACAAGTCTTCTAAGAGCTCGCTGAGGAAGAGGTATTAGGCTCACACAGCCCAGAATACAATGAACATATTCTTCAACTTCAACTAGTCACTAAGCTTTAAAAGTTTAGTACAATATCGTTCAAAATTTATTTGAAGAAAAACCGATTTCTAGTAGCGTCCTTAGGGAAGCACCGTAGAACATTATTTTACAGGAGCTTGTGGCACTATGTTTTTATATTCAATACATGGCGTTCCGTACTTAAATGGACATGGTGAAATGGTAAGTGGTATCCCTTTTCATGTTTGGTTATTTACAGATAAACAGGGTGATTTATCTAAATACGCCAAATATTTAATATCACATATCTCGGGCACTATTAAACCGATTTTGTTGAAATTTTGCATGACAACAAAGTTATCTAGGTACTACTACATAAAATTAGACGGACGGTTAAAAAAAATAGGGCCAGTCTCATTTTTTGTTTTTATATCAAAACCAACACATTTGAAATGTATGATAATGTACAAAAAAGCAAATAAATGATTCTAGCTAATTAGCAAAATTAGCTAAACAATTTTATTTATTCAGATATCTTATTTTTAGCAATTTATGTGACAAAAACCAAAATTGTATTATACAGGGTGTTAATAAAGTATGTAGACAAACTTAAACCATCGAATCCTTGGTCAATTTGAAGACTAAATGTTCATATTAACATGGGTCCGCAACGGCTTTCTTTTGTTGTTCCGAATATTTCCATGAATAATAAAACGTGTTTATTGAACCTATGATAAATTTTGCATGTTGTACAAGTTGCTGAGGCTCAATATTAACGTGGATAAAAATATTATTATCCTGTATTTTTGAAAAAAAAAATTGTTTAGAAGGTCAATAGTCAAAACAAATCAATGTCATGCTATTTTTCCAAAAAATACTGGATAACATTATCCGTATCTACATACAAAACACTAGGGTATATTTAATTAAAATAAAATACTTTCCATTCTTTTATATTTTCTTAGAACAATATCATCTCTTTTAGTGCTAATATGCTCTATCTTGAAAACAAAGCCGATGCGGACCCATGTTCATATGAAAATTCCGTCTTCAAATTGACCAAGGATTCGATGGTTAAAGTTTGTTTACATACTTTATTTGATCAACATTTTACAAATTAATGCACAAAATTAAACTAAATATATTTTAGGAACTCCAAATTCCGGGCCGCAGTTATTTCCTCGTACTTGATTAGGCGCAACGCTCTGAAACTTATGTATGTTTTTTTCCCAGAAAATAAGCAATGCTTGATATAAATAAAGGATAAAATAGAAAAACCAAATGAGTATTTTTCACAATTATGACTGTCATGTAGCCGAATTTAGAAATTTCCGGACGATACTATACGCCTCACTCTGTATCTTTCCACTGCAATGTGCGGAGTATGCAGTAAAATTTATCAAGTAGTTAAAAAGATTTTCGTTGTCCTAACTACCTACACTGACGTAACTGAACTGGACTTCCGAAACACAGAATAAAGGCGATGTTAATTCCAAAGTGGAATGATAAAAGAACTCGGGACCAATTGAAGATGAAAGAAATCATGGAATTAATAGTTGCTGTAAGTATAAAATGGGATCAGATTTTAAATTTGGTTAGTTTGTTTTTAATTTCATTAAAATATATAATTAATAATAATAATATTTATTCACTCAATGTACAAAGAGAACAAACAACATGAGTAAATAAATATAAAATCAAAACAGACCCAATAGAACGCATTGCCTGTACATGGACCAATAATTTTAAGTTGCAACTGTAGAATGCAAATGACAAAACAGGACAAGAATTAGTCACAGTAGCTTATGTATTTATTTGATGTTCGTATTTATGAGTTTATGAATTTCAGTCCTAGACATAGAATGTAGCCACTTTTTTAAATTGCTTTTGAAACAATATCCGAAATGTAAATCTTTTAAGTCTTTAGGTATAATTACATAAAATGTTGGCGCTAAATAGAGATATGACCGCTGCATTATAGATTTCTGCGGCTGAGGAACTACTGCGCCACGAATTTTGTACCTTGTTTAATGATTATGTTTAATTTTTTGGTCGGTGTTTACAAATTTATGGTAGTGAGTGATACTGTGGAAGAAATAAAGTTGTCTTATATTCGTACATCTGTGTATAATTTGTCAGGGGGATGAAGTTTCGGTTTTCTAAACATCATTTTTAGAATACTTTATTGAAAAACATCTAAATTATGGATATGTGAGGAACATGTAGCTCCCCATGCTAGTATACCATATGTGAGCTGAGGCTCGATCTGTGCATGGTTCGAAAATATTTTTCTCTCAATATATTCGCATGGTATTTAATTTTGTAAGATACAAATATAACTTCCTTTAAAATATAATTGACATGGATGTCCCAACGTAAATGATGATCCAATACCACTCCACTGTATTTTATGTTCGGTACTCTATTAATTTGCATTTTTTGATCATTATTGTTAATGGAAAAATTTGTGTAATTTGGCAGATATCTAGCATAAGATCCAAATGGTAAAAAATGTGTTTTAGAATAGTTGATGCTTAATTTTATACTATTAAACCACCGAATAATTTTGATAAAATCATTTTCAATTATATTTTTTAGATCAAACCAGTCAGTGCCTTCATATAATATTGCAGTATCATCTGCAAAACTGGTTACTTTACCAACACAATTAATTTGGAAAATATCATTCAAATATATATTGAATAACAGTGAACCTAAGACAGTTCCTTGTGGGACACCACATTTAATATACATTTCTTTGCTAAACGATCTCTTAATATAATTGTGGTTTATTTCACCTAGTAAATACTACCCTTTTTCCTATACTATATGAAAAAAAAGCATCATTTTTCTTAGATCCGTCAGAAAACAATATTAATAACACATTATAACACATTATTCGACATTGTCTTTAGAATCCGTGGTAAATTCATAGGGCCGATCAAAGATGAACTTTGGAGGAATGCTATCTGTGTCAGCCTACACAAATGGCAGTAACTACAATATATTCTCCATTTTTTTTTCAGTTCTGCAACTGTAGGAAATATTTCAATATATTGGTGTGCAAAATAGAGCAATACGCGTGACCAATGCAAAAGAATAGTTGCATGCAGCGGTAGAGGTGAATATGCTGAATGGTCATCTGTTTTCCTATTTCAAGAACTTGCATCGAATGTTTTCCCTTTGTTGAAAAAAGGAAGCTATATAAATGTAAATCAAATCTCTTTCCGGGAAATACTTTTGCGTGGTTGAAAGATATATTCACCTGGGATATGTTGTGTTGGAGTATTGTAATGCATTATGATTCGATTTTCCAAAATTTTCGTTCAAGATTGATAAATACTAGTTTATAATACTTAATCCGTGTTGTACTTGTACAAAAGTGTTATTCGATATATCCGTTGCTGCCTTGCTGATAAGCAATTAGAAGTTTTAACGGATGTTCTCTAGATAGTTTGATTTCGGTTCTCCAATAATTACCACCCCATGAGTCATTCACCTCTAGTTACATTTGTTGTGGTAATTCGTTATGATTATGTTCATTCTTATTATTTTCCTTTATCAAGGATATATTCCTTTTATAATTCTATCTCTCTGTACTGCAAGTTTGATGCATTTTCTGTAGGTTTACGCAAGTTCAACTATTTTTAACACGCTTTTATTAGCTTGGCCTGTATGTATGTATGCATAATTTTCACCAATTTCCAGAAGTTTGATTAATTTGAAACTTCGCACACGTATCAAGAACCAATGACAATGCAATAATTTGATAACAGTTTTCTGTTACCCTTATTTGGACCTTGTTCATTGCGACTGTTGCCATTAATCCTGAGTTGGGCTTCGACCGTCCATAAGATGCAAGGTAGTAGTACAGTAATGCAGTCATTTATCTAGGCTCGCGACTGTTTGCTGCTAGACAAGCTTATGTAGCACTCGTGTAAGATCTTTAGACGGTATTCGGGTTGAAGAACTTGATTGCTCTAAGTTAATAGTAAAAACCCCATGCAACAGTGAAGCTTTAAATGAAATGATTAGATTACGAAATGATTCGTAAGACATTTCATTACCACATGTCCACAAAAAACCAATTGA